ATGGCGGCGCCCAGCAACCAGCGGCCCGGTAAGGCTTGTTCCGCGGCCCGGTACCGGTCCGCGGACCGGCGGTTGGGGACCCCTGCTCTAAATAAAAGAAAAAATGGAATTATCCAATGTATTCATTTAGATTGACACAGTCAGTTGATATTGTTCATCAAATTTTAACTTCAAATCTTCTAGTTGGGTTATACTCTTTGATATATTCTTGTCAATGTATACAACACTACATTGTCATAAGCAACATTAACATGTAGGTTAAATAGCTGAATTTTTAAGACCTTCATCGAGACAGAATATTAAGGACATGTCATTTAATTTCCATTTATATTCAAACCAAGGTCTAAAACATTTAATTTTTAATCTGTATTGTAGAAATTTAACAAAAAGACTCCATACAAAAATATTCATGTACTAAATACTATGTAAAAATTCTTGTCCAACTGAGCAAAAATTCCTGAGAAAATTAGCCAAACAAAATATGAATTAATTTAACAAGACCTTGCTATTTGGTAGACACTGGTTGATCCGATCTCGTGCTTCATCTGCTGCGTGCTCTACCAAGGCCAGGACGTGTTCTTCCGCTGTGCTGTCTGTCAGACTGCATGCATTTCCTTCTGGTTCAAATATATAGCTATAAAAAAGTACAAATTATTATATAAAAACAAAACAAATGCACTCCCATCTCCACAAAAAGATTTTCAACATTGAGTTTTATGACCACTAGGTAAATATAATGAATTTCCTGGGTAAATCAACATTGTTTTAATCTTACTATATTTTTAAATTTTAATATCGTAAGACTACCCAGCTCCATTGTGACTCTAGATCAGGGGTCCCCAACTGCCGGTCTGCGGACCGATACCGGTCCGCGGAACAACTCTTACCGGGCCGCTGGTTGCTGGGCGCCGCCATCTTTTTTTGGTAAAAAAGTGCTTCCGGTGAGCTTTTCCGGGTAGAAAGCTCACCGGAAGCACTTTTTCGTCAAAAAAAGATGGCGGCGCCCAGTTGATGCTGGTACCGGGCCGCGGCGCCCAGCTGATGCCGGTACCGGGCCGCGGCGTCAAAAAGGTTGGGGATCCCTGCTCTAGATGACAGACAATATTAAGAACAAAATGAACAGGAAGAACAAAGCCATTTACAAGGAATAAAACCAAGTATCCTCTCACCATATATCACTCCTACCAAGAGTCCACCACTTGACTTAATCCAAAGCCTAAGGGGTAACCAGTGCTACACATGAAGCAGAGCAATTACATCATCATATTATGGTATGCTCATAACTTTCCATGCTGCTGTGATCTGGATTTTTTCAGCTCTTGAGTAAACTTTAAAGACACCCACATGTAGAATATCTTAAAATAAATTTAAGCTGGGGATCTCCAACCTGAAAAGGCTTTCTTTCTTTTGCTTGTTAAAAAAATATATGTATTCTTATGCCTAGAACTTCTGTTCATTAAAATAAAGCAAATTGTATCATTAAGAGTAAAGTATTAAAAAGATATCAATAATGTTTGATATAAAACAAGTGAGCAAAAATAATTTATATGAAAATATGAACAAAGAAATTATCACAACAGATTAACTGACTATATTTTGATAATAAAAACTAATTAAGATGAACAGCAAGAAAGAGAACAGAAAGAGAACAAGTAAGAATCATATATAGAGGAACTCAAATCAATTCCAATTATATAATCATCTATATTAGAAATTAAAGAAAATATATTAAGTAATAATAGTGTAAAAATTTCACTTATTTTTTTTTGTGATGAAATGGGTTCTTGTAGCTAAAGAGAAAAAACATTCTGAAAACAGAACAGATTTTGGCATCAAAACGATTGACCAGCATGCAGGAAAAGCCTTGTTAAAAATATCCAACAAGTACTGTATTAAGCAATCTACCAATCAAATTAAAGTACGTGGTTTTAATAACAGGAATATCTTTTGGTAAATATTGTTGATAGAAAAGTAAATTTTTCTCAAAATTATATTAGAAAAAAGCACCATAACATATATTTAAAAATCCAGAATCTATAGCTGCAAATTACTGCAGTTCTTTAATTTCAGAAACACCTTGAAAGCTTAATATTGTATGAATCTGTGCAGTAGAAGATCCCAAGCAAGATTGCAAGCATCCAGTGTCTTACCCTTATGGGGGAACTCGGGCAGGCTGCAATGACCAAAAATTGGCCAGAACTTTCAAGTGCTCAATTTCCTTTCCATACTAATGTCCTAATCAGTTTCGTTGATATTGGAAAAAGCTACATAATACATATCCAGAAATTCAGGGGGAGGGGGAATGAGAGATTTGAATCTGTAAATCTATTAAGTGCAGATCAAGTATTTCTTATCAACATAGTTGTTGACCTTTATTGTAAGTACTTTATAAAGATTTACTATTCCCTGGATTTACCACTGGAACAGGTCTCCAGTGGAAAATAAGGTCTCCAAGGAAAATAAGCTCTTCTGTCCATTCTTTCTCTTTTAACAATAATTTTAATTGAAGTTTAGAAATACAGTGCAATCTAACTTCTGAAATATTCTTTGTTCATGAGAGGCAAGTAAAGCATTTACTGGAGTGTTCTTTATTTCTGAATAAAACAAAGTTATGCAAAATCAGAAAGATATATTACTGAATAATTTTAACAATTAGAACTAAACCTAGATTAGATCAATCCAATTTTAGATTTCAAGTAAAAGATACAGCAATAAGGAACTGATTGGCAGTGAACCAAAAATAACTTCATCTAGCATAAATATTTTAAAAATGTAATAAGCCAAATAGTTATTTATTTATTTGATTTATATTGCCGCCTATTCGCCCATGGCGACTCAAGGCGGCTTACACAGTGTAAAATCATATTTAAAAATAAAAATAAAAACAATAAGAACTAACAAAAAGAATCAAATAAATTAGTAAAGTACAATAGAACAAAATTTGGGAAAACAAAAAAACCAAACCAAACAAAAACAAAAACCAACTCCCCCCACCCTGACAGTTATCCCATCAAGCGAGTAAAGAACAACATCAATAACAAAAAAGAATAAACACTTACACTTGAGACAATGATAAACATGTTTCTATAATGAACTTATATTATAAACAAGAATCTAATTCAATAGAAATTGAAGGAAATTTGAATGAAATATGGCTCAACAAAAAGAAATTCTTTTTTTTTTTGGTAAATTTTATTTGAGTTTTCACAAAAAGAAAAGAAATACAAATAAAACATCTTTTTTGAAAGCAGCATAATCCCGGGTTACATTTCTTCATACAGACGCAAATTCAGATTCATGCTCATTTTTATATTCTATTCCATATCTTATTACTATTTTACATTTTCTACATAGCTTCTCCCCTTTTAATTTTCTCAATTTTATTTTATTTATTTCATCTCAATTCAAATCATTATATTTATATTTTTTTGTCTGTCCTGTTTCAATTGTCTATTATCTTTTCTCATTAAACAAAATTTCTCCTGTAGTTACTGATTGGAGTATGACGCCTTTATATCTTTCCCCTAAAGTTGTAACACTCAATATAATACATAACTTCCATTCGGATTCTGCTTGGTACATTCTTAAACTACACACTGTATTCTTGAAAAAAAAAGAAAAAAATATATAAATATAATTAAAACAACATTCCATTCCAATTCAATTCTATCATTAATATTCAGTAAAGTCTTAACATTTTTCATGTTGCTTTTCAATTAAATATCATACTTCTATGGGAACAATTATAAACTTTCCATAGTTAATTCCCCCCCCCACTTATATTTTATAAAACATTGACTAATTAAAATGTTCCCGTTCCTTCCTAATTCAATTTTCTCATTTATTTTATTTCATTAATTTTATTCACAAACATTTCACTAAATTACACTAACTATTTTATCCCTCATTCTAATCATATGTTGTTTCCAATTTTCTAAAGTTATTTCTATTACAAATATAACAATACAATCTTATGTACCTTTACAGAATCCCTTTTTCAGATAGATTTTCACCCATTATCTCTAAATAGATCCTGTTTCTTTATATCTTGCTCCGGACCTTTGTAACTTGTTTTCCTTTCCTTCTTTCCTCTCTTCTTCTCTCTCCCCTTTTTACCCTTTGTCTCTCTACCTCTATTTCCCTCTTCTGTATTCCCCTTTTCTGTTGCTTTCCAGTATTATACATATTTTTTGAATTATTTTTCTTTTCTTTGGTTGTTTTTTTTAAGTCTTAAATTCTCCATTCTCTTTCCCCCCTTTCCTTTTTCTTCCCCACATAGTTACTTGTTCATTAAAGATGGCTTCTTCTTTGTCCCAGTCTTCTTGTTTTGCAGTCTTTTCTTGTTGTTTCTTATAGTTCCAGATCTCCATTTCTAAGAATTGAAAAACGAAGCCAAAGGAACCCTTCCCTTCTTGTGCATCTTCTTTGTACTTTTTAAGTTCCATTTTCAATTCAAGTGATGCCATTGTATAAATTTTTAAACAACCACCCGATTGATTTTAGCCATTCAAATATAATAACCAAAAATCCAAAAGTCACCAAATAATCCAAATACACGCAAGCTGTTTCTTTTTTGCTCTTTTTTTTTCACTTTCTCTTCCTGGGGTTACTATCTAGTTGCAAAGTTTCAGTTAAAATGTATCTTTTAGAAGTCTTATTGAAGTTTTACTTTAGATTCTTTTGAAGTCCAGGCAGTCTCCTCCCTCTTCCAGATCCTGCCCTTATTCTTTTTCTCTCCCTTCCTGCTTATAGAAGAAAAAGTTTTTAATGTCCAGAAATCTTTACTGTCCCTTTGGCATTTTGTTTTATTTTCAGCTTAATTGCCTATTGATGCCAAAGCAGATTTTTCCGATTTCTTATTTAAGTCTCTTAGTTGTCAATATAGGGAAGGAGAGAGAGAAAAAAAAAAGCCAAACCTTTCCCTTTTCACTTTCTTTAGCTGCTTCCGACTCTTCTTTGGGAGCGATGTTATTTTTGTAAAATTTAAATTCCAGGGTACCTTAGTTGTTGCTTTTTCAACTTAACCCGGTTAGCCAAAACTTTCACTTCTTATCTTCCTCCTGCACGTTCTTTTCCGGTTGAGTTCTTCTTTGAGGTGGCCATTTCTGACCACCGCTCCTACCGCCTTCGGGAAAGGGAGTAATGGCCAGCTGAGGAGGAGAGATGCGGCTCTCCTCGACCCTGCTGGCGGTCTCCCCCCTCTTCACCACCTCTACGGGGTGGCTTAGCCCCGAAACCAGCCGGCTCGGGGCGCTACAGTGGCGAGCCCAGACAGAAACCGCGCATGATCGCGGATTCCTGTCTGTCGCCGAAGCCCTTCAAACCGGAACAACAAAAAGAAATTCTTTATTAACTTACAACAGAACAGAGTCAATCAAAAAGTGACATTGAATTAAGCCTATTTCTATAAATTACTGCAGGCTTTTTCAAGAAATTGTTAAATTTAATTAATGAGATACAATTACAATGAATCTTATATGTCATGGAAAGAAGCCTTCATCTCTTTGATTTATAAAGGAAGGAAAAGATCTAACCCATTCTGAACCATAGACTTATCGCTTTACTGATTGTGGATTATAAGCTTTTTCAACAATTTTTGCTGAGTCTAAATAGTCATTTATTTATTATTATGATATTTGTGCCACTATCCAAAGTGAGTCTAGGTGGCTTTTAGCTGAAATGATACATTTTGACTAGACGGATTTATCTCAAAGAAATATATGTGGAATATTATATATAATCAGAAAAATTAAAATTAGCCATATTTCTTGATGCTAACAAAAATTCTGACAGTGTTTAGGCTTTTATATTTGCAGTTTTGAAAATAAAGGATATGGACAATTCTCTTATGTTCATATAACATTTATAAAAAAATAAGCAGCCAAAATTGTAGTAAAGGTTCTTATTTTAAAGCAATATATTATATCAAAGGGGACAAGGATGATCTCCTATCTTTACTGGCATGAGAACCATATCCTACTAGCTATGCTAAGAGAGCAAAATTTCAAGAAAATAAACTATAAAAGAATACAAATTAAAATTTAGCATTTGCTAATGATATTGTATTTAAATTGCTTATGGTTCAGTGTCAAGTTACCAGATCAATAAAGAGAAAAGTCAAATATTGATAAGGAATTTGACAGTGGAAGAAATAACAGAACAACAGAATTGGAAGGGAGATCTAGTCCAACTCACCACTCAGACAGAAATATCTATACCATTTCAGATAAATGGTAATCCAATCTCTTCTTAACAACTTCCAGTGTTGGAGCATTCACAATTTCTGGAGGCAAGTTGTTCTGCTGATTAATTGTTCTGTCAGGAAATTTCTCCTTAGTTCTAGGTTGCTTTTCTCTCTGATTAATTTCCATCCATTGCTTCTTGTCGTGCCTTCAGGTGCTTTGGAGAATAGCTTGACTCCCTCTTCTTTGTGGCAAACCCTGACATATTGGAACTCTGCTATCATGTTACCCCTAGTCCTTCTTTTTATTAAACTAGACATACCCAATTCCAGCAAATGTTCTTTATAAGTTTTAGCCTCCAGTCCCCTAATTATCTTTGTTGCTCTTCTCTGCATTCTTTCTAGAATCTCAACATCTTTTTTACATTGTGTTGACCAAAACTGGTCACAGTATTTCAAGTGTGATCTTACCAAGGCATTAGAAAGTGTAACACTTCAAGTGATTTTGATTCTATCCAGTGGACTGCTGGATGGTCGGCGAGGTACTGGCGAGCCCCTAGCTGTGATCTCTGGCTGGGCCTGCCCACTCGCCCTTGTTCTATGCTTTCCCTAAATGACTAACTTTTCCCCCACCCAGGCAAGTTCTGAGCTGCCCTGCTGTACTCACTGGAGCTGCCTGAGTCAATTAGCTGCCTGTTTGAAACTGTGTTTTACGAAACTGCAGCCCATCTCTGATTCTACCCCTCTGTTAATGCAGCCTAGAAGTGTGTTGGCTATTTTGGCAGCTGCAGCACACTGCACTAGGACTCCAAGATTCCTCTTACAGTTACTACTATTGAGCCAGGTACCACCTGTATTATACCTGTGCATTTGGTTTTTCTTGCCCAAATATAGAATCTTACTTTTTTCACCATTGAATTTCATTTTGTTAGATAGTGCCCAATGTTCAAATTTGTCAAAATCCTAATGTATTTTAAGCCTGTCTTCTGGTGTTGGCTATTCCTGCCAGCTTGGTGTCGTCTGCGAATTTGATGAGTTTCCCATCTATCCCCTTGTCAAATCATCGATTAAGATGTTGAAGAGTACTGAGCCTAAAACAAAGCCTTGGGGACCCCACTGCATACTTCCCTCCATGTAAATGCAGTCTCACTGAGGACGACACATTGACTGTGGTTGGTCAGCCAGTTACAAATCCATCTGGTGGTGATACTATGTGCAGTCTAACTCAGTCTAATTTTTCTATCTTATCTAATAGTAGGTCGTGGTCTACTTTATCAAATGCCTTATTGAAGTCCAAGTAAATCATATTCACATCATTTCTCTAGTTAACTAATTTTGTCACTTTGTCAAAGAATGCATTAAGATTTGTCCGGCATGATATGTTTTTGAGAAACCAATTTTGGCTTTTGGTTATGACTTTGTTTGGCTCTAGATGTTCGCTGATTTGTTGCTTATGTTTTCCAGAATCTTCCTAGGTATTGAGGTCAAGCTGATAAGTGTGTTGTTTCCTGGATCTATTTTTGTTTTCCTTTTTTGAAAATGGGAACTACATCAACTTTTTTCCAGTCCTCTGGTAGTTCCCTGGTGCTCTATATCTTTGAAAGTATGTAATGCATATATCAAACAACAGGTTTTAACGTTGAAGTTATGTATGCTATCCAATGGATCTAATTAGATAGGATACTTCACTGGTTTTTATTTTATTTTTCTTTATTTTTTAAAATTTCTTAACTATTCATCTCCTTCAAAGACAGACTCTTAAGCGATAAAATGTTAAAATATAAAATAGTATGTATAAAAGTTAAAAATGTTAAGAGGAGGCAAGGGATTAAATTAGCTAGAAGATGAAGAAAGGGTTTCCAGGAAATTAATCAGTCTCATGGCTGCCTGCTCCCCTGGGCTCCCCATATGAGGCCCAATAACCGTGTTTTAAATTCCTTTTTCGAAGGCAGAAGAGTGAAAGCCTGCCTCACCTTCAGAGCAAGAATATTCCATAGGTTGGGGAAGAGAGGAAACAGCAGAGGAAGCAAACTGGCACCCAATGGCACTTGCAAAGCAGGGTTAAATGCGCTCTTCTCTGGGTGCCTAAAATTTGCTGTGCAACCACATTTTATACAAGCTGAATATTCTGGATATTTTTCAAGGATAGCCCCATGTAGAACATGTTGCAATAATTCAAATGGGAGAAGACTAGGGCATGTGTGACTGAGAAGAGAACTTTTTTATCCAGAAAAACTGATGCAATATATACCTGTTCTACAAGCTGGAACCATGAGTGCAGGAGCACCAGATCTGTCTGAGGTAGTGCAACCTCATTCACAGCCACCCCATTTTACTAGGGTCCACCTGAAGTCTCTTGTTCCCCATTCAGGCATCTATAGCCTTCAGACACTGCACAATAATATCCACAGTTTCACTCACTTCATCCGGGATGAAGATATGTAACTGGATATCATCCGCTTACTGTGATACCTCACCCCTAGTGACAAATGATCTATTGGTTTCATGTAAATGTTAAAAAGGAGTGGAGACAGCCGCAAGCCCTAAGGGATCCCACAAAGCAGGGACCAAAACAGGGGTGGGATTCAAATTTTTAAATGGTTCTGTGGGTGTGGCTTAGGTGGTGGGCGTGGCTTGGTGGTCATGTGACTGGGTGGACATGGCTTGGTGGTCATGTTATTGGCTGGGTTTGGCCAACTCAATATAACTCACATCGAGGCATGCATCTCCTCGCCTGGCCTCTCATGACTGTGGGGATGCTGCAACAGTTGTAAGTATGAAAAATAGTCACGTCACTTTTTTCAGTGCCATTGTAACTTTGAATGGTCACTCCACACAAGCAAAGTACCAGCAAAGGAGGGGAAAAAACTCCAGAGACGTTCCTGAGACAGGAAGTCTAGTCCTGCCAAGAATGTAATAAGGGTTAACGGAGAGGCAGCTTCTGTAAGCAACAGCAGAATGTTTCCTTCCTGCCTTCCTTACAGGATTAGACCAGTAATTTCTTCTAACAACCAGTTCTCCAAACTGCTTAAAATGTTAACAACCGGTTCTACCGAATAGATGCGAACTGGTAGAATCCCATCCCTGGACCAAAAGCTCCTGCTCCCTACCAACACCAATTAGAACCAACCTCAGATGAAGGAGTGAACCTACACAGAACTGTGCAGATCAGCAATCAAGTAAACAATACCCCAATCAAGAAATTGCCAAAGAAGCTAACAGCAAACAGCCCAACCAAAGAATCTCTTAAGATCTCCCTTACCAACACTGACAGGGCAAGCCATTAGAATATAAACTGACAGCAAACAGCAGTCCTTACTGATGGTGTTATCTAGGGTAATGAAACATCTGCAAGAAAACAAGCAAGTTCACAGAGCACCAAGACCCCTCATTTTAAAAATAATTTTGAATAACTGTTTTAGTTCTTGCATAAAAATGAACACATCACGCTGCTATTCATTAAAACAATCTCTCTTTTTTCACTTCTAATCCTCCAAAAAGATGTGCTGATTTAAGAAGTACTCATTAAAATTAAAACACCCCTTACAACTTTTTTTCTGGCTCATGTGGAAAACTTACAATGAATGGAAAGAATATTCTTGCTCTTGTCTTCCAGCTCACTTTCAAAATATTTATCAAATGCCCCCTATACGGATTGAAACTCTAGAAATAACTTCTGGGATGCATAATGATTCTTTTCAAGATGCCCAGGGTGCTTACATTACTTGAAAAATAATTATATATTGTGTCTAGTATGTCAAAGTTATAAACTAATGGTCTAATTAATTCATTCAAAAAATAGGGATGTTATCTGCAAATAAAGGCACAAAGGAACAAGACACTTCCTCCAACATTTACCTAATAACTTCTTTACTTGGCTTTTTGGATTTCTTGGTAGTCTCTACATGCACAGGAACAACTTCGGGCACTGGATCTTCAACAGCTGGATCTTCATCGCCCAAAAGAGCTGCCTGCTGAGAAAAATCCATGTCCTGCATAAACGACATGCTGCGCTTCAAAGCTAACAGCCGTTCCTAGAATTAGAAAGGACAGAGCAGCAGGGACTTTACACCTTTCCCTCATAGCGAAGATGCTATGATGATGGGATGGGATGGGAATGGCCATGGCTTTGCACCTAAGAACTACATCTTCAATGAGGATGCAAGGTGATTCAATCATGAGCAGCATGACACCGGAACACCTGCAACCTATTTTAGAAGGGAAACCATACATACAAATGGCCACCTACCTGTTCACAATCTTCATACAAGATAATCAATTGTTCAGTTTGAAAGTCATTTTTTTATAATTTTGAAAAATAGTATTATATAATAAGTATGTGTTACACAAATCCATCTTTCACTCATTTTATATAAACATTTACATTATACTATTCAGTAGGTGAAAGAATAGGTATTGTATTTAGGAATTCATTAAATATATAGTCAAACAGTGTTAAACTAAAGAATATGTATGTATTTCTTCCAATATTTTATTGGAAAGAAAAAGAAAAATAGCAAAATGCTTAATATTCTAGAATAGTTCCAAATTTATTTAAATAAGACAATGCTTATTTCTTCAGTGAAAGCTTCAATTTAAAATTTTTATCTTGATAAAACAAATCTTAAAGAGTAGTATTCACTTTAAAAGAGATGTATAATGGAAATGCCAATAAGACCTTTAGTAAACCAAGCTGTCTGAGAAACCAACACTAAGAGGAAATTCAATGTCCTTAAATTTCCAGTTTTATTTTATAAAGACATAGTCTGCCCTTTAGAGCTATAAATATTTAATCAACAGTAGAGTACTTTATTTAAAGTAAAGTTAAATGTTTAAGAGCATGTGGAAGTATGAATGCAGCATATCAGCGATTGTTGTTATTAAGTCAGATAGACACATGCTGCATTCACATACCGGTTCATCTGAATCACCTTTTTGAAACTAAATCTAAATTGGAAGTATAAAATAATGTTGTATTGTGATCCTCTACAAAGGTTAATCTATATTTTTGGTCCCAATATGTTCTCTGTTGTAGTTGTCTTACTTTGCTCATCATCTTAAAGCCAGCATGGAGAATCTTTTTAGCCAGTTTGTAATACACGGTATCTGGTCTGTTGTAAGTCATTGCATTGTCACACATCAGTTTAAAATCTGCCTGGAAAACAAACATAATTATTGCTATATTTTCAAAAACTGTTTATATCCTAAGAAATTCAATTTCAGTAGAATCTTACAATGTAAAAAGGCAGGGAAAACCCTGGCAGGCTCCACACAGCAGCTGAAAATCCACACTTATAGGAATGTCAACATGATTTTCAGCTCTTGAAAAACAGAAACACTCCTGTGCTCCGAAGGTCCCTCCCACCCACTGAGGCACTCCACACTCCTTACTGTGCTGCCTCCTGCTCTCTACTTGGATTTCAGCTCTCTCTCATCTCTAGTGGCTATTTGACAGAGCTGCCTGCAAAAGTACCGCAGTTTCCATCTTTAACAGGCAGCTCTTTCAGATAGAATGAGAGGGAGCTCTCTCACCATGTGTGACCAGTATGCAACTTTCCCTACTAACTTAGAATTAGAAGAACTTTATTGTCATTGTACAAGTACAACAAAACTGTGGATGCACCCCAGCAACTGTTCGCAATAAGGTGATCACATAACCATGGGACATTGCAATCTTCATAAACATGAGTCAGTTACCAAGTGTCCGAATGTTGATCCCATGACCATGGGAATGCTGCAATGGTCATAAATGTGAAAAATGGTCTTTTTCAGTGCTGTTATAACTTTGAATGGTCACTAAATGAATTGGTGTAAGTCTAGGACTAACTGTACGTGTACAAAAAATTCCAAGGGAGAAAAATGGAGAATGGTTGAAGAAACAATGTGATTACATTAAAAAATTTAATGAAGATCTGAAACCTAGAAAGGATATATATAAAACAATGGAAACAGGACAGGTTACAAATATGTCTGTCTGTCTGTCTGTCTGTCTATCATCTATCTATCTATCTATCTATCTATCTATCTATCTATCTATCTATCTATCTATCTATCTATCATCTATCTATCTATCTATCTATCTATCTCTTTGGTTATTCGGGTTTTCTCCCGTGTAAAATTGGAAGTATCTAGGCAACGTTTCGATGAAGTCTCATTCATCATCTTCAGGCTTGTGTCTTCGGCTTTGTGCTTCTCGGAGTAATGTGAGCTTGCAGCTGCTGCTTCCTTTTAACTGCTAGTGGGGGTGTGACTTGATTGGGTGGGGGCTTGGCTGTGTTCTGATTGGGTGGGGGTGTGTTCTCATTGGGTGGGGGTTTGGCTGTGTTCTGATTGGTTGGGGGGTTGGCTGTGTTCTGATTGGCTGGGGGTGTGTTCTGTTCAGGTGGGGGCTTGGTTGTGCTCAGGTTAGTTTTAGTTGCTGGGGAATTTGAGCTGGTGAGCTGTGATCCTGCTGTTTGGCTTCGCGTTCGTGGTCGTGCCGCATCTTCATGGTGGGCGTCAGTTCGCTTCATGTATGGGTCGGAGGGGTTTGAAGCGGGTAGTGATGCAGCTGTGGTGCGGCTTCTGGTCCGTGGTCGTGTCTCATCTTCTGTGTGGGTGTGAGTCTGCTTTCTATCTGGAAGTGTGGTGGTAGCATCTTGTGTGGCCCTCGTGGGTGTGGGTCTGGTGTCATTCTTCTGTTCATGAGGGCGGGTTTCCAAATGGCTGGTAGGCGGGAGGTGTCATCTCATTTATTCATGCTGTGTGGGCGTTTTTCTATCTCTATGGCTTCTCTGATTATTCTGTTGTTGAAGTGTTCGGTTTTGGCGATAGTTCTGGTATTTTTAAAGTCAATCTCATGTCCTGTGGCTTTGAGGTGTTGGACCAGGGAAGAGGTCGGTTCTTCTTTTTTGATTGAGTTCTTGTGTTCTTCAATGCGTGCACTTATTCTTCTGTTAGTTTGTCCGATGCATGTGGTGGGGCAGGTGGTGCAAGGGATTTCGTATACTCCTTGGTTTTCTAACTCAATTTTGTCTTTAGGACCTATTTATACGTATGGTATTCAGTTTTGTTCGGGTATTTTCCTACGTCATTATAGTTGTGCTTTTAAAGTTGTAGCAACGTTTCGGCAGAATCTCAACTGCCATCATCAGGCTTGTGTATTGTGTTCGTCTGTGAGTTAGGCTTTCACAGCCGTTTCTGTTTTAAATTTAAATATGAAGTCTCCTGCGCATCATGTCCTGCCACATACATTAGACAGACCAATAGAAGAATAAGTACCCGCCTGGATGAACACAAAAATGCAGTAAAAAAGCTGGAACACATTTCCTCACTAGTCCAACACATGAAAGCCACAGGTCATAGCATCGACTTCAATGGCACCAAAACCCTAGCCACTATAGAAAACCCCAGCTACAGAATCATCAGAGAAGCCATAGAGATTGAAAAAAGACCTGAAAGCATGAATAGAAGAGATGACTCCACCAGACTGTCAATTATCTGGAAGTCTGCACTCACAAACAAAAAAATCTCCACACCACAAGCCAAGCAAACACCTGGGCACAAACAGACCCCCCTGATACCTCCAGCTCAAACACCCCCCAACCGGGCACCCAGATGAAACCTAGCTTCCTAATAAATGATAGCCATCCGTTTACCCAAAGCCAAGCCGCACTAAAAGCCTCCAATACAGGAAACACAATGTTGCCAGCCAATCAAGACAAAAAAAGCTACAAAACAGACAGAAGATATTAGAAACACCAATCAAGCAGAACACAGTAAACTCCAAGACCAATAAACACAGTCCAAGACTCCCAACCAATCAGGATGAAGAAAAAACCATTCTGGCACAGCAGTAGGCTAGCCCCAAATTTAAAAGAGAAACGGCTGTGAAAGCCTGACTCACAGACGAACACAATACACAAGCCTGATGATGGCAGATGAGATTCTGCCGAAACGTTGCTACAACTTTAAAAGCCCACAACTATAATGACGTGAGTAAATACCCGAACAAAACTGAATACCACACACACCACACACACACCGAGCCTAGAACAATATGGGGATGTCATAAAAATCAAAGTTCAAAATGAGCTGATGTTAGTTAGATGTTGAGAATAATCAAAAAGATTTCTTTAAATATGTTGAAGAGAAAGCAACCAATAAACCAGTTATTCAAAGAGGACAAAATGCTAATGGTTAAGAAGATAGTTATTCAATTCCTATTTTCATCTCCTCAAAATTTCATTCCATCAGGAAACTGTGAAAGGCAAGACTGCAGCTTGAGATTTACAGAAATATACAGTAGGATATATATATTAATATAACATATATAATACAAAACAAAACATTGTTATGGAGGCTAAAACATATGAAGGAAGCTAAAACATGAACAGTTGCAGAAATGGGTATCTCTAGTATAATGAAAAAAGGACTAGGGGTGACATGATAGCAATGTTCCAATAACTGAGCAGCTGCCACAAAGAAAAGAGGTCAACCTATTTTTGAAAACACCAGAATTAAAGACAATAAACAATGGACAGAAACTAATCAAGGAGAGAAGCAATCTAAAATTAAGGAGAACTTTCCTAACAGCGAGAACATTTATTTATTTAATTTATATTGCCACCTATTTGCCCATGGCAACTCGAGGCGGCTTACACAATGTAAAACCATATTTAAAACAAAAAAATAAAAAACAAAAAAACAATAAAAACTAACAAAAAGTATCAAATACATTAGTAAAGTACAATAGAACAAAATTTAGAAAAACATTTTTAAGAAAAATTAAAAACCAACTCCCATCCCTCGCCCCGACAACAGCAGATCACACTAGCCATTTGATGGGCTCCACCCTCTCTGGGCTCCCCAGGCCCGCTGTGAAAACCAGGTCTTTAGTGCCTTTTAGAAGAGTGCTAGAGGGGGACCATTCTAATCTTTGGGGGAATGATATTCCATAGAGAGGGAGCCACCAGGGAGAAGGCCCTTCTTCTGGGTATCATCAAGTGCATCTCCCTCAGGGGTGGGACCCGCAACATTCCCTGTCTCCTCGTTCTAATGGGTCAGGAAAAAGAGACTGTACAGCCATTTGTCTGGAATGGTATAAGGTCTCCTGCTTGAGCAGAGGGTTGGACTCTTCCGATTCTGAAATTCAGAATATTCTATTCTATTCTATTCTATTCTATTCTATTCTATTCTATTCTATTCTATTCTATTCTATTCTATTCCATTCCATTCCATTCCATTCTATTCCTTTGTATAATATAATTGATGATCTGTCACATCTTTAGCATTTGAGAAATCTGAAGTATTAGATACTTAGATGACAGCAATTATTGTTCCTATAGTCAAAAGAAAAGGTTAGGGTTCATTCTTTTAACACACACACACATACACACACTTTTAGAACTTTTTCCAATCTTGTTTTTAAATTTTTATGCCAATATCATGGTTTTTTTAAAAAAACAAATACATTATATATGTAATATTTAAATATTAAATTGAGACTCTATGTCTGTGAGAAACACTAGAAAATATGCTGAATATTTAAACATCAGGACAATATTGATAAATGGACCAAAATAAAATTTATGGATGAAGTTGATCTTAATGTAAAAACTTGTGAGAATTCAGACACATATTAGCATATATAAAGTAAAAGCAGACATTGCTTATCTACAGAAGACTCATTTAATGCAAATGGATACATGTATGTTAATAAAGGATTGGTAAGACAGGTTTATCTCACATAAGCTAAAAGTGTAGTCATTTTGGTTTTAAAGCAATTCCAAATTGATGCCATCACTTGAGACTTTCAAGAAGAGACTGGACTGCGATTTGTCAGAAATGGTGTAGGGTCTCCTGCTTGGATGGGGGGTTGGACTAGATGACCTACAAGGTCCCTTCCAACTCTGATTATCTGTTATCTGATGTACAATTATTACTGATGTAAATGGCCTTATTTAATTTTATGTGCTAATATAGCAGAGACTGTAATAGCTATGCTTAATGTTTATGGATCTAATCTGGATTCCCTTATGTTATATGAATGTTCTCAATATTTGAATAAGTGTATTAATGATAAGTGATAAGAGAAAAAGAGTTTAGTGAAATATTGGTTCTCAAGCTTCATAGAAATATGCTAGCATGAAAAAACAATTATTAATAAGGGAAACAATATTTATTCAGAAGAACTGAATTTAATAGACACTTGGTGTTTGATGCATCAAACTAAAAAGAATATACACTTAATTCACTTATATATCAGAATTTTTTTTTAGACTTGACTATTAGCCCTAACCTGACAAGGGTGTCTACTCTTCGCTTTTTAATATTTGTATGAAACTGTTGGCTTGTGCTATTAAATAATAGAGGGATCTACAGAATAGTATATAGTTAAATTGAACACAAATTTTATTTGCAAATATACTTTTATTTCTAAATTTCAATATTGATGTAAAAGATAGATTAAAACAGCAGAATATTCTATTAGCTTATATCAGAACTATCAGTAAAAATTTAATTACTCATCCATTCAAGGAATATCAATGTTATTTCTTAGAGTTTACTTTTTCTCTGAAAAAAAGACAGCCAAAGAAGAAGGGGGAGGAGGAGGAAGCGGCAAGTTTGTTTAGAGAAGATTTGATTGAAAAAGGAGAAAAAAATATGAAATATAGGTTTTATTTTGGCAAAAGCAGAAAAAAAGCTGGAAAGAAGATGCTTCGAAAAACCAAATAATAAGAAAAACTATTTCATTTTACTATTTATTTTTGTCTTATTAATATATTTAGAAAAAAAAATAAGCAATTTGCCAAGGAATTTATAGGGCATATCTGAAAAATAGTAAAAAATGAAGGTGCCAAGTTATAAGAAGACTGCTAGAATCTTTAAATAAACTTTTATAATTTATAAAATGCATATACATAGGGCAAATAGCAATATAATTCATTGAATACACTGAATGGCTTTGACTTTTTAGGTATAGGTTGAAGCATATTCCTGTAGAATACAAAGATTACTATGTATAACCTGGAACCTTATCTTTGTTACAGAAAAAAAATAAAAATCAATATTGGGTTAATAAGTATTCATTAATTTACCTTGAATTCTGTTACTGACTTGTACTCATTTGCTGCAATTTTTTCTTTCATGGTAGCAAAATCCATAGGATGTTTTATTATCATGGAATAGCCAGGAGCAATAGCATCCGTAACTGGAAAAGCAAAAAAACCATGAGGATCCTTCCTAAAAAAAAAGAAAAAAAAAAGCACAGAGCATTATATTTGGATATAATATTGCCATACTATGTTAATGATATCAATTAACAACTTTTTGCAATATGCAACATCTGAAGGCAAAGCCAAGGAATGGAAAACATAAAAGAACTGAAATACAATCCCTAACCCATCAAAGCACCAAAAATCTTAGAGCATCTATCACAAATAAATATCTGAGCAAAGCAAATATTCAGCATAAGCCAGTATTTCGCGCCGGGGTGTGCAAACATGTGACAAAAAACTTCTTCTATTTTTGATCCTAATGAAAGCAGAATAAAGCAAAAGAAAGCAAAAAGAAGAACTTTTAGTATTTCTACAACCCTCTCCATTCAGATTAAGGGTATAAATTAACCGACTGGAAATCTCTTTCAGGCAGTCTATTATTTTTAACTTCATAAACCCTCCTTCCCAGGACCACTACACCAAAAAGACATGTTTTCAACTCCCATTTTCCTTCTCTGATGATTTTTGAATCATATACAGCTCTATTTCAAGGTTTTTATTCCATTTTCCTTTGGACTGCTTTAATGATCTTGTGTTCCCCTGGAACAAACAAACTGCAGTAGCCAATGCTGTCCAGAATCCATTTTAGGTCAGCAGCAATCCTTATTCTCTTTCTTCCTTCAACCTCTCTTCAAAAGTGCTAGCTCTTTCTACTCCTTTATCAGAAAATCGACTCCCCTTTCCTGAGAGAATGTGTATATATATGGGAAAAGTATCCTAGAATCATAAAAGTGTAGAGTTGAAACCACAAGAATTATAAAGTCCAAGCTTTCCTAATGTATCAAAATCTTGAGAATCTGCCCATAAAATGGATAAAGCTACAACCTTCTTAGAGAAACTGTTCTACTGTTATATTGATCTAACAAAAATTTTCTTCAAATTTAAACGAAATCTACATAGCTGCAACCTATTTCTGTGTCTACTTTCTATGTTGTAGAGTTCCTGACTTTGTTTCCTTTGACATCCTTCTGTATATATCTAAACAATGTATTTTACTTTTTTCTCTAGAATGGTATTTTCTGTTCTTTCATCTTGTCCCAGTAGAGTATATTCTGAAGTCTCTGTATTGCATTTGTCATCCTCCTCTGAACTTATCCTAAATTACCAATATTTTTGGGGCATGTCCAGAATCATAACAGAACTCCAGATATGGTTTTACTAACGCGGAATAGAGGGAAATAAAGATTTCACACATTTCTCATGCAATGACTATAAGCCCAGAACTGCGTAAATCCTTCGAGAAGCTGACTTACATTGCTTATTCATGTGAAGCTTGTTGGCAATGACCATAATCAAATCTTTTTCAAAGGAGTGTTTCTAAGATAAAAATCCCCCAACTTTTATGTATGCCACATATTTTCCCTTATCAAACTGTATAACTTAGATTTACCACTATTGAAGGATACCTTGTTACTCTTATCCAAGTCTTTCAACTTGTCCAGATTAGAATGCAATCTTCCCAGCTTGGTCAGACCTTCCATTTTGTGCATTCCATGAACTGACAAGTAGTCTACCAATTCCATTATCCAAGTTATTAATAAAAATATTGAATAGTATTGGCCCCAAGGGAGATCCATGTTGTCTCTGAGTATACAGGTAGTCAGTTGTGACCCATTTTACTGTATAACCATTCAAACCATACTTTAGGTATTTAGCAATGAAAGACCACCATACATTGTATTTGCTGCATTCCCCAAGCTACTAAAATAGTTGCCTTGTTAAAGAATATTTGTCTCAAATGGCCTATTTTTGAGAAAGTCACGCGGACCTAGCAAATCACAACATTGTCTGCAAGAAACTTACAAATGATTGGCTTTATTATTTGCTCTAACATATGTTTCCAAGTATTGATGCTACGATCACTGTTCAATAATCACTAGGATCTTCTGTTTTTCCTTCCTTGAGCAGGGAGACATTTGCTCTTCTCCAATCCTCTGGCACCCCTAGCCAGTTCTCCAGGACTCCTCAAATGCTACACAAATCACTAGATCCTTTAGATGTAAAGACAAAGGCAAAATAGGAATTGAGTTCCTCTATTTTTTCTTGCTCAATTTATTTATTTTTCTGGCTGAAATAAGCAGTGAGCCTCTGTTATCTTTTTCTTCCTACTGTCATATTTTCAAAGTCTTTATTGGTTAATATTGTCTCTCTTGCTAGCCTAGCTTTCCTGACCTCATTCCTACTGGGCTGAAACTTCATGCAGTAGATATAGTGGTGTATCAGTACAATTGTGATGAAGAAATAGGATTGGTAGGTAAATGGTAATTCAATCTTAACAAAGAAAAAAACATGAGAAATAAATTTAAAGTAACCTGCCACGATTCTGTTTGGTATAACAGGGGACAAAGTGCTACTCTACCAAACTTTCAATGACCTATTTCTACAGCCTACAATAGTAAAGCAAAATTCTTGAAATACTTGCTGTTTCATGACCTGACCTAACTTGAAGGGCTGACTATATACTTCCTTGGCTGTTACCCCTTCTTCTATAAGGAGTCTTATTTAATTTTACTTCTTTGCAACCTGCCTATTTAATTATATTGGCTCCTTTAGATGTCTCCTTGTTTTCTTGGTCAAAGGAGTCGGTGTTGTCTGAAGACATTTTTAATGATCATGTGGCCAGCATGGCTATCTGCCAATGGCATACAGAATACTTGACCTTCCCACCAAAGTGGTGTCTATTAATCTACTTACATTTGAATGCTTTCGAATTGTTAGGTGGGCAGAAGGTGGGCAGGATTGGCCGTCACCCCATTGCATGGCACTCATGTCTCAAACCCAGGCTGTCAGTTTCCAGCTGACAAACCCAACATATTCAACTGCTCTATCAAGAAGTCTCTAACAATTACAATTTCTTTGATTTTAAAGTTTTATTCCCAGAATATCTTACTATTTCTCTGGGTTATTAAAATTTGCCTTCTGAAAATCCAGGCTCTAGATTTTTAAAAATCTACTAATTGTTAAAATCAAGAATTCTAACAATAATCATTTTTTCTCAAAGTTTCCATCACTTTGAGATTTTCAATCAACGGCTATACAGATTAAAGCCCAGAGTGCTTGACAATGTAATGGACATAATATAAATTTAATCAGTCAATCAATCCAAGGTTGCAAGTTCTACCTTTTGAAAAGGGCAAGGGAAGAAAAAAGAAAAAGGCAAAAAGAAGTTAGAAATTATCTTGTTTATGGCACAATTAATTTTCGAAGAGATGTCTTTGTAGATTTTTAAGGTTTTATTTATCCTCCTAAAGTTCTTCTGAGTCATTTGAGGATCGGCAACAGTTACCTAATAAAATATCCCTTCTTCTAGTTTGCCTTTTTATCTTGAGCTAAATGCCTTCGACACTTACATTACAAACAACCAGTGAATCTTTAACTGACTTTCAATGTAGATAAAATTAAAGCATAAAAAATTCCAGAAATGTTCTTCATGGTTGTAAGATAGCATAATACATCATGAAAGTCTCTCAGAGTTTCTATCTATCCCATCTTATACATCAAATAAAACTGGTGAGAGTATTTGGAGTTTCTATTTAATACATTCCACTTTCTCAGGACTATATTGCCATTTTCTTCCTTTTAATATTTCATTGCTTTCTTCTCCCTTCTAAAAGCCACATCTGTATTCTGTCACATCATCTCATCCATCAGAAGGAAAGGACACACATAGTTTTTCCACACCTTCCTTGCTTGAAGATGGGCTGAGTTTGCCAAGTTTAATGGACAAGCATGGCAGAGCTAGATATAACTCGAAGGTATCTATCCCTTCCTTTACAGAGCAAACACACATGGGGAATCGGACATGACTGAAAGTCAAGTTTCTTCATCCTGGAAGATAAACTCTAGTAATTTTGGAGGCAGTTCATAAGGATGGGGTTTATGGGGTAATTTCAGATGAAACTGATAAATTGTGATGACTAGACATTCTTTGCTCCCTCTCATTAATTCTCTGATTAAGTTGTCCTTCCAGTGAATTTATTCGCTTGGTAGTCTTCTTTCCCATCTGCTAGATTTAGTGTTTGGGGTAGGATAAGATAGTATGAGGAAGAGGTGCAGAATGGGCCCCTCTTAAACAGGGAACGACTGATGAGATATAGATAGTCCTTGACCTATGCCAAAATTGGGACTATAATTTATGTTAAGTAAGGTAGTTTTTAAGTGGGTTACGCCCAATTTTATTGCCTTTTTTGCCATAGTTGTTAACTGAATAATTGCAGTTAAATTAATCATTAGTCATTAAGCAAATCTCGCCTTCCCCCATTCACTCTGCTTGTCAGAAACCATCTGGGAAGATCACAAATGGCAATCACCTAACTCTGGAACACTGCAACCATCAAAATATATGCTTAGCTGCTTAGCACCTGAATTTTGATCATGTGACTCTGGGGATGGTGCAAAGGTCGTTAAGTGCGAAGACTAGCTGTAAGTTACTTTTTTCAGCATTTTTTTTTCAGCATTGCAACTTCTGTCACTAAATGAACTGTTTTAAATTGAGGACTACCTGTATTGGATTAATCTACTTTGAAGCAGCCAATTGCAGACAAAAGCCGCTGGGTTAATTTGATGTGTAACCATGCTATAGACTTTATGTCTTGGGTAGGTATGAAGAAGGCAAACATTAAGTGAAAACTACTCTATCATCCATTACAATCCTGGTGCTTTTAGGTATACCTACTGCATGTTTCTACATGGCCTAAGCCAAATCTATTTGGTCCTTTAAGAGGATCTAGACAGCCTATTTTTCTGGAGAAAGTCAAAATTCAAGACAAGTGCTCTGAGGACAGGATGCCTGGTGGTTGGGTCAATTACAGACTGCTTGAAAGTGAGACGAGACCTATCAGTTGCTATATTGAATTATTGCAAAAAGAAATAATTCAATTTAATTATCCTATTGATAAGAGACATAGCTCAATGAAAATAAAGTTCAGTGTAGCCACCTTTTCCTCTCCCATTAGATTATGTACAATAAACAGCAATAGCACTTAAGATGTCACAGTGCATTACAGCCCTCTCTAAGCTGTTTACAGAGTCACCATATTGCTCCCAACAATCTGGGTTCTCAGGAGGAGGACAAATGAATATAAATGTCCTGTAAGTGGGAAACGATCTTCTAAACCTGGAGGTAAATTAAGAGCCACGATTAAAGCTCATCTATCTGAACCAAGCAATATGATCCATAAATAGTTCCAGAGTCTTCAGAGCCTTTTTCTTATTGCAAAGAATAAAGTGAATCATTCTGGTAAGGAGATTTCCTATGATCAAAGTGGTCATTGCTTAGCTGGAGGATTGATAATAAAATGCAGGGAAACTGTGTCCCATGGTCCAGGAAGAAAGGGAAAGCCTGGAGCAAACTGTAGTCTGGCAACAAACAGAAAGGATGATGCATGTTTTTGACATCCACTCTCACCCTGTCCATCAAAACTCTCTAAGCCCAAATTTTCTTACCTGAAAATAAGTTCTAATAAGTTCAGTAAAGCTTACCTAAATTGACACATACATGAATATACTGAAGGGTATGTTAAAGCTGATTGCACATTTTTAAGTTCAGCATTACATTATGAACTATTAATGTATACTTTATTTTATTTCCTCTGGTCCTCAACTAGAGCTGTGCAGCCCTTTGAAACCAGTTTTCTAAAGATGGGAACTTTAATATGTTAGAGTTAGGTTATGGTACTTAAAGTATTTCATGCAAGTTTGTGCTCTTCATGCTCCAAAGCCTGTTAGAAGATCAAATTCAAAACACTTTCCTGCCTTATCTGGTTCAATAATAAAGATTAAAGTATCCGTGTGAAGGATGTCCACAGACTTAAGCTGTACTGGAGAAGATGTTGAATGACCAAAGCACTCAGATTTCTAAAACTAAGATTCCTGTTCACATTTTCAAATAAGATTAAAACAAGCATGCATCTATATGACAGATTTGCTTCTACTACATCTAAACTTATATAAACTGTCAATAGAAAATAGTGTCAACTTTAAAACACCTCTTAATCAGAGAGGACACATTGTTAAGCATCTAAATTTCAAAACTCAAAACAGCAGTTTTACTTCTTATTATATTTATATATGATATATTCTTACCTCTGTAACTGACGAAGGAAATGTTCCAATAATTGCTGAATAGGTGTGCTCTCATTTTCTGCTATAATACAACATAAAAAATAGGTTTTGATAGTGATTCTCATGTTTTCACAATTCTAATAATATAAGCTATTTCTATAGAGGGCTTCTACAATTGAATGTGTTTCTGCACAAGAAAAATAACAAATTAAACATTCATTTAAGAAATGCATACTCTACCTTTCACCCCAGAAAAAGAATGTATGAGACACGCAAATGTTAAAAATAAAATTCATTAAAATATACATAAAAAGGAATAGCAAAGACCCAATAGAGCCCAACTAAAACTACAATAAATAGAATTAAAAAACAGATAAATCAAGTATCTTCTTAAAAATACTAAAGCAATATCAGTGAAGAGGAAGAAAACTTGCAGCATGTGGAATTTTATATATGGGGCACTGCAATAAGAACTTTATGCAGGCAATCATCAACAAATCTTAAACACATCAATACACGTAAGAGGGTGTTGTGGCTCGGAGGTTTGAGCCTGCTTTGTCAGAGGTTGAGGACTTGGTAAATGAGGAAGAGGAGGATTTGGCTCTGAGGTTTGAGCCTGCATTGCTAGAGGACACAGACTTGGATGGTGAGGAAGGGGAGGATTTGGCTCTGAGGTTTGAGCCTGCTTTGTTAGAGGATTTGGAATTGCCTTCCTCCCCAGGACTGTCCTCCTCGGCAGGATCTTCTCCCCTGATTGTGCCTCAGGTGTCGGCAGATAATCAGGAGAACGTATCAGAGCCTCTGACTGAGGATCAAGCCGAGGAATGTTGGCTTGATGCGAGGCAATGGCGCAGGAAAAAGTGTAAGTTGCAACGTAAAAGGAAAGGACGAATTAGAGACTGAGATGAGGGACTGACACGCACCACAGAGAATAAAAGTGGGTGTGTTAGTTCTGGATTCTTGTTCGGGACAACGTGTTAATTTGTGAGAGCAGCTCCCACAGATTCTGTGTGTGTGGCGATAGTCTGTGATTTATGTTCTTGCTTTATTATCAGACTTGGCAGACAGCTTGTGTGAAACTGCCAAGGACTTGCCTGGCCAAAGGAATTTAACCCTGTCATTATTGGTCTTGTCTGCTTGTGTATATTCCTTTGGAAACTTGGACTTCTCACTTCGTTGGCACAGGTGAGACATAACAGAGGGTTTAAGCAGATCCAGACATATGATAAAGGAAGCATTTTAAGCATCTGGACCCAAATATGTTTTGAATAGATCTCTAAATGATTTCTGTCAAAAAAAATTGTAGAAAATATGAGGACAACATTATTTCAATACAAGTAGTCCTTGACTTACAACCATTTGCTCAGTGACCAAAACAGACTTTCAATTGCTTCCCCGTGCAGCTTAGCTTTTCCCATTATAACCAAACGAATGAGGGGTATGTGTGAATGTACATATAGCATCCTGGAACAATACCTAAGGTGCCACATTAACTACCAACAGGACCAACACTGGGTTGAGATCCTCCCCTTTGCAGAGGTGGCCTCCAATAATGCAGTACATTACAGACCTCACCCCCTTTAAACTTGTGACTGGCCAGGACTTTGTAACCATGTCCGAATTACTCCAGGCCAAGCCACAAACTACATCACAAGCAGAAAAGATTATACAACTTCAAAGCACTTGGCCAATAGTCTGCAAAGTGCTGGAAAAAGCACAAGAAACCTATAAAAAGCATGCCAACAAAAAAATGCTCTGAACCAAAAGATTTTAACATAGGCAATAAAGTCAATCTCTCCACCAAATATCTGCAGTCTAGGTAGCCATCGAAAAAACTGTGCCTTTTTGGTAGGTCCAATTGAATTGTTGAATTGATGACTGCTGACAGAAAAAGTGCCAATGTATTTAACATTGGCACTTTTTCTGTCAGCAGTCATCAATTCAATAACAATTCAATTGGACCTACCAAAAACCCTCAGGCATGTCTACCTGGTCTTTCACTATAGCCTATTGAAACCAACAATTATGCCCTGCAACGAAACCATCACCAACTCCCATTTTAATTGAAGGGAAACAGCATTTTGAAGTTAAAGACATTTTGGACTCTTATAGACACCAAGGGAAAATCCAATATCTAATTGCATGGAAGGATTTCTCCCCCTCAAAGACAGAATGGGGGGATGCCCAACAGGTGCGAGCACCAAAACTTCTTCGTAAATTCCACCACAAATATCCAGATAAGCCTCATTAAATTCCAATTGTCTCTACTTTTTGTCTCCTTTCCTACAGGACTAACATCTTTTTCAAGGGGGGCAGAATGTCAGGCCTCCCACCTTCAGTATACCTCCCTTCACTGGCATCCTATCATAAATTGCAAAGGCAACCAGCGAAGTAAGAATTGGGCATCAGAATATCCAATGAAAGGGAATCTTAACAAAATGCTAGGGTGATAGGAACCAGTGTTATTGATCTGGACTAAACTGGATGATCAAGGATGAAGCCCGAAAATAGTATGCAAAACTTGAAGGTACCAACCTTTAAAGCCATTCCCAAATAATAATAAAAAAATACTATTGGACACTGATGGGCGTGTGGAGGAGGACCAGAGGAACAGAAAATTGCAACCTTTCCAGAGGAATACTCAGATCCAGCTTTGCTTTCATGGTAAGCACTTGACTTTAGTAAAAGAATCATTCACTTTAAAGAATGGGAGTCAAGAATCTTTCTTTCCTGAGGACTTCCGGTTTGTCGGCTTCGCAAGCGGCAGGGATTCACGATACTGCGCGATCCCTGCTGCGCTAGCCGTTTTTGGTGCTCCAACCCGGACGGGTCTGGAGCTAAGGCTGCCCTGCAGGGGTGGCTGAAGATAAGGGGGATCCGGAGTGAGGTTTGGGGGTGTTGCAGACCCCCTTCCCAGCCGGCAGAACCCCCTTTTCCCAAGACGGTGCAGCGGCGGTCCGTAATGGCCGCCACAAAGAAGCTGGCAGCCAGGTAAGAATGCGCAGGAGGAAGTGGAGAAAGCTTTTGAAAAGAGAAAGTTTTTCTGGTTCCCGGGACTCTGAGATATATTTAACAAAACTCCTGGAAATTATGGCTTTCTGAATGATACCTTCTAGAAGAGAAAATAAGCGGCAACTTGGTGGTGCTGAAAGGAAAGTTTACTCTCCTTCCCTACGGAATTAATAAGTGGATATTAAGAAACTTATTTTTTTTAGGTAAAAACTGGCTTTAAGTGATAAGTGAGAAGGGAGAGGACTAAAAAAATATTTGTATGCTAAGACTTTGTTGGAGGAGATGCCTTAAGGACTTGAAGACTGAAATATATTGCAATAAGACTTTAAGAAACAGATTTGGACTTTCTTTTTTTCTGATTGATACCACCCCAGGAAGAGAAAGTGAGAACTTTGCCTTGGCTTGGACTGATTGATAACTTTGGGACTGTTTTATTTTTTTAAAAAAATATCTTGGTTGCTGCAAGAAGAAAGAAGGGGAAAAGAAAAGAAAAGATTTATAATGGCTTTTTCTGTTGAGGAACTGAGAAAAGAATATGAGCAAACAAAAAAAGATGGTAAAGATGGTTTGAAAGAAGCCTTCCTTTTCTTAGAAATGGCGCTTGCTAACTATCAACAAACATTACAACAGATGAAGACAGCAGAAGAAGAAGAAGGAGAGGAAGAAGTCATTTTTAATGAATTTCAGAATTTAACCAAGAAAGAAGGAAGAGGGAAAGGAAGAGAAATGAAGGACTTAAGATTTAAAAAAACACTTAAGAAGGGGAAAAATAAGGTGCAAAATCAATATAATGATAGTAAACAAAAGGAAAAAGGAACACAACAGAGAAGGGAAGCCAGTAAGGCAGAGGCTAGAAGAAGCGGGGGTAGAAAGGTTTGGTGGGGGAAGAAAGGAAGGAAAAAGGTGGAGAAAAGCCACAAAGTTTTGAAATTAGATGGGAAAAAAGGAATCTTTTTTAGGGATAAAGGGTAAAGTATAAATTCTTCAAAAAAGATTTTGCAAGGTACATAAGATGATATTGTAGCATTGTATTAGAAATAGAAAACTAAAATGGTTTAAGAGTTGATAAGAGATCAAAATGTTGAAATGTTTAGTAATGATTGATTTTAAAATTTAATAATATTAAAGGGAAGGTTTAGAATATTGAGTTTTAATTAAAGAGTTTAATAAGATTATGGTATTGATGTTATTATAAAATTTTTATTATAGCATTTGTTTTTGGAAAAGGCAATGGGAATGTTATAAGATTCAATATTTAGATCTACTGCTTAACTATGTATTTAATTATTTTGGATTTACTATTTAGATAGAACGTACCAAGCAGAATCGGATTGGGTATTGGGTGTTATTTTAAATGTTAATTTGATTAATTTAGGGGGGAGATAGAAAGGCATCATACTCTGATTAGTGATTTCAGGAGAAATTCTTTTTTTATTATAAGGAACGAGACAAAAGGACAATAAAGAATGGACAAAAGATACAAATATAATGACTCAAATTAAGATGGATTAATTAAGATAGAATTAAGAAGAGTGAAATGTGTGGAGAAGCTAATATAGAAGACTTAGAATGGTAAATAAAATAAGTAATGACATGTAAGATGAGCATGAATATAATTGAAGTCCATGAAGAGAGAGATATCTGGGGCCAAGTTACTTTCCTAAAAGATCTTTTTTTTTTTTTTTTTTGTCTTGTGTGTTGTGTGTTTATGTTTCTGGGAGAATTAATAAAACCTTGCAGAAATATAGAATGAGAATAATGGTAACCAAGTCAGAAAGAAATAGATGAAATAATAATAATGAAATCGAATAAGAGTAAAGAGAAGTGAAGAGAAACTGGATAAGAGGTTTTTGTATGCTTATATGGAAATGGTTTAAAATAGAATTATAGGTTTTATCTGACTTGTTAAATTTATAAGGGAAAAAGGTTTAAGTATGTAATGGTTAATGATGATTTGTTTGTTTCTGAAAAATTAATAAAACTTGTTTAAAAAAAAAAAAGAATCTTTCTTTCCTAAACATCTAAGGTGAGATAAGCCTGACAGTAGCACTGAGGCTGGGCTTGAAATAA